ATACCAGTTAAGCACTAAGCACATCGTTTGCGTCCGACTTTTTAATCTCCAATCCGATTCTTTTTCCATGTCACACTGACTGCACATAGAGAGGCTCCGATTAGGCAGGGTGAGCAGATCTATGCCGATTTTTTCACTTCTATCTCTGTGCTATACGAGGAGTGTTCAATAAGTAATAGCCCTGACCCGCTTCTGAATGTTATGGGCTCAAATTTTGATTGCTTAATTACCGGCTTGAGAGCTGTAGTATTGTGGACCACCGATAGGAGGCAAAGAATCATGTTAGCGTTATTAGTTTGGTCCGAACTCGGCACAGATCGGTTTTTAGAGGGCATTTATAGATCATTTTTTCTTTAAAAAAATCCACATTTTTCACTTTTTCTTTTTTCTTTTTTATCTAATTTTTTTTATGTGTCACAAATTGCCTCTCTTTCAAATTATTGTTCACAGATAACCTTCTTTTCACTTATAGCCCAATACAAACTGTCGTTCTTGACCAATAAAAATGTTGTTGCTAATATCCATACAGGCCAATTTAAATGCATCTATTAAGTAAGTGAAAAGTGTTTTAAAAAATGCAATTCTTTTTTCATAAAACTTTTATCTGAAAATCAGAATTTTGAAGAAACTACATCTACAGTTGTAGCCATTCAAAAATTCTCCGCTTTCCTTGATGGGTCCTTGGCTGGTCCCCTACATTTGCTTTTTAAACATCAATATTTGTACTAAAATATTCTTTCTGTCATGATTTATGGACATTAAGATCTAAAGAGAAGCGTCATCTCCTGAACAGACCCTGTAATTCAGTGAAAGTAAAAAAATTATGAAAGAGGGGGTCACTCCAGTGGCTGGAAGTTGAAGGGGATTTGCCTGGGAGTTGGAGCGAAGAGGGCTGCTGCCATTCAGCTGGTTTTTGACTGGGAAGGACCATTTTGAATGGCTGCTACTGTATATAAGAATTTGATAAAATCTGAAAAACACATTTGAAAAAAATATATAAAAAACTAAATC